GTAAAAAAAAAAAAAAAAAAAAAAAAAAATCAAGTGTCTTGGGCAGTAAGTATGTCTTACTGGCTAATTTGAAAGCTATTAGACCCAGTAATTTGTGACGAAGCGGATATATAAATGCGAGGGAATATAGTACAGAGGCCATAACTTGTATCGGCCCGAGGATTTGCCGAGAGATAGCGGCACAATGGGAGGAGAAAGCGCGCGATATCTCTAATTTCGGCTCATGTGTAATCAGCTCTCATCGCCCGGCCGCTAAACAATAACACGAGAGGCGCGACGCGGCCTTTGTGATTCAGCCCGATGAAAATATTAAGTGCATAGAGAGTAGCACGGCGGCCGCGCAAATATTTATTCGCCCGGTGGTACGAGATAAAGCGACGGCGAGAGGGGCGGGAGAGCGTGGCCGCGGTAGAAGAGTCAGAGAGAATTCGGCGCTTTACGATTTGGCGAATTTTGCATTCGGGGGTCTCACAGGATTATTTCAGTGCTGGCCTCGCGCGGAATATCCGGCCGCGGACGCTCGCCGAGTAAAAATCCTGGGTTAAACTTAAAACGCGCTTTCACAACCGAGGCCGACCGAGGCGCCTCACTTTTTCTTCTGCCCTAGTATTATCGATGGAGCAGCGTCGATGAATTTCTCCCTCCGTAATCGAGCGTTTTATGGCCGCTGGGACGGGGTTTGGGGAAGAAGTAGGGTAGCGGGAAAAGGATCGATCGAGGGATTAGATTATTGTCCATTGACATTAGATTTTTATAATATCTTGTAATTGCCGTTGGGCGATGTTGGCTAAAGATAGCTAGCTGCTATCTTGACATACTTGATTACCTTAATGTGTACTTAGATAAAGTTTGTGTATTTGATTGGGATACATTGGCGCTAGGGGTATGCAAAAACTGTACTTATTTATGATTTGCAAATATTTGTATCTATTAATTGATTTTTGTATGTTGCCGATAGATAGAGCGACTACGGGTATTTCAATGCTCCCATTATCATATCTTTCTTCAATGCGATTATTTTAAGAAGAAAATATTAAATTCTATTTCCATTATTGTTAAATATGGAGCGAGCTATTTTTAGATGAAAAATTAATATCGAGTCATTGTACTCAATAGTAGGCTATGTGATGTGATGGGAGTAGAAATATTTATATGATGCGAAGTAGAGTTGCGGAATTGTAACAATCGTGTTTGCAAATCTTATTTCCTTTAACGAATCGGGCGGAATATCGTAAACATTTTCAGGTATTATTTTTAAATCGCACGAGATACGTGCGACTAACGCGCAATGCCACGGGGCACTAAATCGAATATAGAAAACATTCGTGTGTTTCAACTATCGTGCCATTTGAATTTCATGAGCATGTACAAAGTAAAGAATATATGAATACATGGCCGAGCTTTATTGTATAAATAGTATAATAGATATATCGAGTCTTTTGTTAATCGGTGATCCACCCAAGACTTGTTGATTCGGACCGAGATTGTGGTGTAAAATAAATGGCTCGAGTTTACCAGCTTTTACATGTAGCGAAAGAAGCTCATTGTGCAGTCGAAACGGAATTTCAATCTCTTCCGTGACGACGTTTTCAGAAAATCTGCCCTCGTGAAATCTTATTTTATCTCTACTCGGTTAGTTTTGTTCGCCTCTATATTTACGTTATTAATAACGACGCCCAAGTTCGCTTTTAAAAATTGGCGTTTGAACGAGTTTTTACGTGGATTGGAAAATACCGTAGTCTTCCATTATTTTAATGTGTTAAAGTAGTAATTTTTTATAGAAACCTTTCGGTCTTTATTACGTATTGCTGCACTTTTTCGTAAATACGGTATGCGAAATTAAATTTTATAATGCACTATTAAAAATAATAATATTTTCTATTTTATTTTTAACTGCGCCAAATTTCTCGATTCATTTTTTTTTTTTATAGAATATAAAATTGCGATATAAATTGATATTATTATCGCGAATCCAGTATAAACTTCATTCATGATAACTAATGAAAATAAATGTTTAGCTTTTTATCAATGCTTTTAAAAAGCTGAGCTTCAAAAGAGTCGCACGTTATCGTTAAGCATAAAAATACAAAGTTAAAAAATTAATTGATTTTCTAGCTCTTTTCAAAGTTTTTTTTGCTCTTCAGCTTAGTTTTATTCGACATTTTAGCCGAGGGGTTGCCGGTTAACAAAAACAGAAAAAAAACAAAAAAAAACAAAAAAAAAAAAGAAAAAAAAACAAAAAAAAAAAAGAAAAACAAGAAACAAAAAAAAGTACAATTAATCATCTTAGTTGCAAATAATCGTCTTTGTAAGACAATCCTTATAATTCAGAAAAAGTCAAACATTACCCGATTCAATAAGGAAAATTGACAAATAGATAAAAACAAACTTATTTCAAATACATTCATAACAAATATATTATTATATTCAATTAGCAAAATTATATTTTATAAGCAGATATTTCTTCAATAATTAACTGGCATTAAACGCATGAATTTTATGCATTCAACAGACTTAATTGCGAGCTTTTAAGTTAACAACAATGGCCAACTGAGAATAGGTCGCGATCGATGTCTCGTACATTGCATTTCTGACAATGCAAACAAAGCAAGTTAAGTGGGGGAAACTTGCCACTGAAGGATTATTCGTTAATTCGTTAATTACACAGGAGATTTGCATCGGAGATCGCACACGAGATGTCGCGTATCCTCGGCATCAATAACGTCAAGCACATTAGCTCGTACAAAGAGTGACCTTCATCGAGGATGACAAAGATACGTGCGATGCCATGCCTCTTGAAGAGGAAGCTTTTATTATCACTGTCGGTTTTATTCGTACGTATATACGTGATATTAAGTTCAAGCGCATGGGCCAGAGCTTTTTCATCTTCTTCTTCTTCTTCTTATTATTATTATTATTATTATTATTACTTTCGACAAGCCATTGTCCCATTAACGAAAAGCCAGGCCAACTCTCACGTCTTTTTTAATACTCTCAACCTCTAGACATATCTCATGCTTTTAGTCGGTAACTTCTCTTTTTGTAATTAAAAGTATTTGTGCATTTTGAGTTTACGACATTATTCATAAGACACAAGAGATATCTTTTGTACAATGTTCTAAGCCCTATGTGTACAAAATAGTTTCAATTATAAAAACGAAAGTACGGAAGAAAAATGTGTATATAGCATCGCGCTTCCCTTGTTTCCTTATTTGACGTTTTTTTTTTGTTTTTTTTTTGTTTTTGATTTTAGTAAAAAAAAGTGTCTTTCACGTGTTACTTAAAGAAATATCTCGAAATGTTTTTGATTATGAGATACTTAACCTCATAAACATTATAAAATTGACCGTTTAAATAGCGATTAAAGCGTGTTTTGTATTCTATTTAAAAGATTTACTTGCCGTTTAAATGAAAATCACATAATTATTATCTTAGAATTTCAGAACAATTAAGAATTTCTATTAAAATATTTAATGTTCTCATGAATTTATCTTTATTATTTATTAGTTAACGATAAATCATAATACATCTTTGAGTTTTATGCGAGCCGATCACTCAATGACGAATAATGTCTCATCTAATAATAATTTTTCTAATATCACTTATAAATTAGCATTTTCTTTGAAAGGAAACATTCGTAATAATATGAGTCGCCCGTTCAATCAGTTTTAGTTCTTATCACCGCTATTGGGCAAATAAGTTCGACACTTTAAAAAGGTCAGGATAATTAATGCATTGAGCTCAATTAAACAGTCTGTTATATAATGGTCGAGCTTTTTGTTAATTTGAAAAGTAAAATTTCGCAAAGCTGTGATCAAATACGATATCTTTTCCCAATTCAAAATTGGATTAGCAGAAGTTGGGTTCACGTACTTCGGCAAGCTTGCGTGTGTAGAAAAATTTTAAGAAGCGTGAAAGAGAGAGAGAGAGAGAGAGAGAGAGAGAGAAAGAGAGATGGAGACAGACAGAGAGGAACGGAAGGGAGAAGAGAGGTGGTGTCGAGGAAGAAAATAGAAGCGTCAGCCTTGCTCGTAGCCGTCATTTACTCGCATAGAGTGGAAAAGAAATTAACAGGCGGCTCGAGTAAACGAGGAAGACGCCGGTCTCTATAACAGTAAACAACGATTCTATTGGCTCGGGACACACTTTTTCACTAATAGTTGCGAAAATACGCTTCGCTCATTTACTTCCTTTTCTCTCTATTCGTGAAGACGGAGCGATAGATAGATAGATATATGGATAGATAGAGATAGATAGATAGATAGATAGATAGATAGGTAGGTAGAAAGAGAGGGAAGAAGCTTCGCGTGAATTTTTAATCAATCTGTCAAGTGTCGGTATGAGTCTGGTAAGAAGAATTCAAAAAGTATCAATTAGTGCGTGCATTGACTGTCAATGCGGAGTATTTCGAAAGCTTTACTGCTTGCAAAGTACGGCGATACGGTTTTGTTATTGGCGAGTCATTCGCCTCGAACGCGCTAGAAATCGCTAAATATTTACCTTCTCGTATGCCGTAGTCGTATAGCCCTTAGAAACTCAATCCTAGAAATGCTCGAGCGTACATGTATGAGAGAGAGAGAGAGAGAGAGAGAAAGAGCGACTCGTGTGGCTAGATACGGAGGCGCGACGGAGCTTTTAAAGTACTGAGCTTGCGGGGCGCGCGAGTCCAGTGGCCCGTCACCAGCTGATTATCGACGATATCCCCGGCGGATACCCGGACGTAGAATCGGATACTGATACTCGCGTGGCCGCGCTGGTGAACCGGAGCCGCGCTCTCGTCCCTTTTATTTTTAGTGCACCGGCCGCCGTGGCCGTTGACGGCTTCCATTTTCCAGCGGGACGTTTATTTTCGACCTTGCGCTCCCACCCCCGCTGGCTCCTAGCCCCGTGCTGCCGCCTCTCGCGTGGATGGGCGAACTTGAGCTACCCGAGACACCTTCCGGTGGCAGTTTACCGACACGCGGAAGCGGGCGTCGGTAATGGGAGCTCGGCATCCGGGCGGCGGATAAGGTGAACGATGACGGCCCCTGCCGTACCCGTCCGGGGTTGAAGAAGGGGGAGGCTCCACCGCCCCCTCCCACCCACTTTTCACCATCGCGTCCTTTTTTCGCTCCGCTAGATGCACCGTTTTCGCTTGCCCACGAGATTAGCTCGGATAGTAAGTCGGCGAGTAACTTCGTTGCTACCAAGATTGCTGCTACCTTATCTTGAACGAAGTGCTTTTTGGTTGGAAGTTTCGTAAAGTTTGTTGGAATACATTGGCCTGTGCAAAGTGATAGGAGCACGCGCGTTGGCTCCTTCCATTAAATTAAGTTCATTAGATGCGACTTTTTGTTTGGCTATTGGATATTTTGTTATAATTGCTTCTCACTTCTCAGGCGAGAAAGCCATTGAATTACGCATTCTCCCTATCCATACTTTCGCATCTTGAAATTGCACTTCGCAGCCTTACGTACTCTCTTCTTATGGCTATTACTTGTGTATTCTGGAGCGTAAAAATGTAAAAAGGAAGTCCGGAGGGTAAAGAGACTTTAGAAGCGTACGCAAAATATTATGCGAATGCCGTAATAACGTGAAGTTGTTCGCGGCCGTGATAACTAGGCTAAGACAAGGAACGTCGTAATAAAAAAAAAAACAGAAAAACATATATCCCGCATCGTCTCGCTATCTATTATTGCGCAAGCGGAAGAAAAATTTATATTCTACTTGCCGAATGAAGCGAGCGGCAAGGTTTTACGAACCTTGGAGATGAAGAATATCGGGTACACGAGAGATGGATATAGAGACGAAGTTTACCATCGATCATTTGAATGACCGTTTTCTGAGTAAGATCAAATGAGACTGTACTGGTATCAGTCGATGACGTAATAAATTGCGTATTCGTAAGGATGTATAAGTCCATGTGCAACTCATGCAAAACATCATTCTGATAATTATTATAGTGGCGTATTAGAGTTGAAGTCTGGAATACAGATTAACGAAGTCTTTAATTATATATACGTTGGTGGCTCATTCGAATTAGCTTCAAAACATATAAAAAAAAAAAAAAAAAAAAAAAAAAAAAAAAAAAAACAAAGACAAAAATCCCGTCGAGTAATATTGCAAATTGAGGACATGAGTTATACTACAGATTAGTGTTAAATGATCTCGTTTCAATTTGTTAGAATTAAAACAAATATTTATAATGCATTATAAATTATTGTGTGCGTATATGGTATGTTTTTGTGCGTATGTGTGTGTGTGCGCTCGTATGCGTGCGTAGATTTTTTTAAAGCAACTAATTCGTGTATAAATAAATTTAATACGAAGGTAGTTTTTGGATGTATGCCAGGTAAAAAGGGAGTTAGAAATATGACTTTTGTAGAAATAATAAATCATAACTCTGCACCAAAGTTATTTAAAAAAAAAAATACGCCATTCGTCGCGTTAATTATGAAATATGTTCGTATTTCGAGTGTATAAAAACTTACCTCGCGAAGTAGTTTCAAATCATCGTATTAAGCGAATGAAATTTACAATTATTTCTTTATTACTTAATAATATTCAAGAATATTTCCAATTGTCAAACCATCGTGTTAAATGCTCTTATGCCTAAATAATGTGCATTCATTATTCATTGAAATTGTTGTAAATGATGATAAATAAACAACATAAAAATGTTTGTTATTGCCACTTATATAGGTAGTATATATAATTTATATATAATTTTGGTTTTTTTTTTTATTTTTATTATTTTTTTTTTGTTTTTGTTTTTGTTTCATTGTAATAAAAGTCAACCAGTTGCATGAAAGTAGGTGGTCGAAGAGACTATTATGAAACGAGAATAGCTCTGCATAAAGTATCCGCTGATTTTGCCAATCTTAGGCTAAAATGCATATGCACACGCGTAATGGAGAAATCGTTATTCAAATTAGCATTATTGGGTTTTATGATATTTTATACATTCTGAACGTCCAGCGAATTTTTGACGAATGACCCAATATATTATGTCACTCTACTTAACCTGACAAGAGACGGGGATTAAACGTTAAAATTTCTACTGATTTTCAGTTGAAAAATCATTGGATTTGTTGGATTTTTTCGAACAAGTTTAGTCGAATATCACGATATTATTCACATACTTTCGTTTTTCATGGTATTGAAATGTCAAGACCGACAAGTCCACACTATTATCACTAATCAATGATGAAAAAAAGTGAATTTTCTCAATTCTAAAATCTAAATTTCGTCGAGATTAATCGTGCAGCTTTAGTTTAATTCAAAATCTTAAATTATAATGGAAAATTCGAAAAAGAAACGTTGAAAATGGTATAAAATCTAATTATAATTTATGTATCTCATTAATAGACCATTCGTCCCTAAACAATGTACAAGAAATTAGAGGATTTAAGAAAATTTCTGTTTTACTACATTTTCTCATTTACTTAAGAAGAAAAAACAAGCTTTTCTTTTGGTTCTACAGACTAAATAATCCTCGCTAATTCTCTAATTAATCCTCTAATTAATTGCCCGGTGTAGTTCAATTAATTTAATAGTGGTGCGCAGCATAATAGTGGCGATAAATATACCGTAACTATTATTCTTGCAACGCCGCATTGTAATGCGCTACTTAGGGAATAGGCAAATCGTCGGCGAATGTTGCTTGATGTAAAAAGATATGGATACTCACCCGGCTTGTTGTCCGCCTTGGGCGGCCTCCTTTCGTTGGGGGGCCCTGTCGATAGGGCCCCGAGCTGTGATCCCTTGGAGTACCAAAAACGTGCGCTGTATCAGCTGTAATGTGAGAAAACAGAGGGGCAAATGAAAACAAACTCGATGGCACTCGGCCATGAAAACCGTCTGTCCAGTGCAATCGCACAAAAAGCTCGGGCGAAGCTAAAATTAAAGCGACGCGCGAACGACAAAAGCCTTGGCTGGCGAGCGCGAAGATGTGCAATGTTACGTACGCGCGTTTACGCGTGTGCGTTCCTACCCGCGCGCTCCTGAGCTAGCGTCAGTGTGAGCGTGAGCGTGCGCGCGTGAGAGAGATAGATCGATCGATAGATAGATAGATAGATAGATAGATAGATAGATAGAAAGAGAGAGAGAGAGAGAGAGAGAGAGAGAGATTGGGAGAGAGTGAGAGAGAGTGAGAGAGTGAGTCAGGCAGAGTGAGAAGAGTGGGGGAGGGGCTGGGGAAAGGTAAGACTCGCAGACCGAGTACTTCGGCGTACTCCATCGAGACAAAGAGACAATAAAAAGAATGAATAGTGTCAAAGAGCAAATCACCCATGCGCTTCTTTTATCGTGCGCTACTAAGAGCCCGAGGGTGTCGATGTCAGGCGCCTAAATATAGCATTGATTGCTCTTGGGGACTTTGCACGCAGCGTTTCTCCTTTCACACGTACGGACTCACTATTCTCCGATGGATCGTGGATGCAGTCAGTGTCGCCCCAGTCGTCACCGACGTGGCCCTCGATAAGTCAGCGCCGCGCGGGACTTTGACTTCGGCCCTCCCCGAGTGCTTTCCCGGTAAAAGAGACGCCATGGAGAAAAGGAAGGAGATCTTAATGACTGTTAGACCGGAGATCTTTGCCATTGTGCTTAAGTCACTCTGGATTTCGATATTACTTTTTGTACTTTTCAGAAGGAAGATAGGACGATTCGATCGTATTGGGATTGTTTAAGATTAAGAGGCACGAGGTATCATCATCCACGAGGTTTCTTTTCTTTTCTTTTTCTTTTTTTTTTTGTGTCCTAAGAACGGCTAACAAAATTATGCCCAGGATGCGCTTTGTGTACGGCAACTTGAGTCTGATAAACCGTAAAATTTATCTCCTACGTTTCGACGTTTATTGTATTAAAAATAACTTTAGATGTATATGTATGGCGGCTGGTGTTTCGATATTTCGTGGATGACTTGAAATATTAAAATAAAAAAAAAAAAAAAAAAAAAAAAAAAAAAAAATGAATTTACGAACTAATATGATAAAGATGACATTATTTTTTAATACTTATTATGAAAGTTTGACAGGAGTTGGGCGGATGGATTATCTTTATTAAGTATTTCGCTATGGCGTACGTTAATTCTCTGGAAAATGAAGTTTTTCCTTAATTGCTACTTTATTCTTGCTACGTTTATTCGCCTTTGCTCACCGTATACTTAATTAACAAAGAACGAGGCAAATTACAAAAATAATTCTTATCCGCGGCGTTGCTTAAGAGAAAAACTAACGGGCATTAAAGTAGCTTTTGGAAAACATAGAAACATAATCACCGCTGAGTAAGGGTGTGATGAGCCCATTTAAAGCACTCGACAATGGCAATAACAATTCATCCTCTCGGCTTTTCATAAATCACTTTCCTCCAGCCCCTCGGCTGCCGTCTCTTTTTTCCTTCGTGTTTGTCGGCACTTGATAATATAACGTGCGTCAGGTGTCAAGGTCGCGTGCTATCTGCACTTTGAGAAATTGATAGCGAAACACCGACGTGTGCGAGGATTTCATTTATCAAGGCCGGAAAGTGTTGCAGGAAAGCAACGTTTTGACGCTACGAAGAACGAAAAGTTCGTTTCGTATCGGCAACATGTGGCCGACAAAGCTTATATTGTACATGTCCTGATCAGTCGTCCTGTCCGTCGAATGTTTTCTCAGAGGACGCGAGGTACACATTCGTATTGCGCTAATGCCGATGGCTAATTACACGTTTCGTTGGTTATGAGTCGATAGCGTTGAATGTCTTTCACGAAATCTTTTATTCGAATTGCTTGGTCGAAACTCTCTAGTTTTTTTACTCCGCCTTGGTTCGTATTTGCACCTTGAAAAGAGTTAAGAATATAGGAAGTTGGCAAGAGTTGCTTTGGAAAATGTCAAGTGCGAACGATGTTCCGACGAATAATAGCTTTGGATATATTTATTTTAGCTCCTACACACAATCGTCATGTTTATAAGAATTTTCAATGAATCATAATAAAGGCTTATACGATTGATTAAGATTTTTAACTTTAATTTCTCGATCTTTGTGAATTATATTATCATAAGCATTTCTTAACTGCTATTTCATTTATTATTGTATTCATACATTACTCTTTGGCAAATATGTAAATTACGAAAAAAACGATTAAATTATTTTAATATTCTGATATTATTTTACTTGAGCTGACCACCGTGATAATTTGATCGTTTATTATGAAGAAAAGCATTTTCTCAGTTATTCGCACAATAATTGATAACGGATGAATGCCCTAATTGATTGCTCGGTATTGCTTAACTACAGCAAGATTTATATTACGTAAATGCAGTTATTTATGCCAACATTATAAATTAAGATATTAATATATTTTAAGCGATAGGTCAATGGTTTTATAAAATTTCTATAAATGCTATAATGAGATATTATTAAGTAAAAGTATGTTAGAGATTAATCATCCATTGCACGATAAGATAGTTTGAAGAATACATAATTGTTGTGCCAATTTGTAATATGATACGTAATATATCAATCTCGTTATTGATTATCAATTAGAAAAATTAGAAAAAGACTAATTTATCATCTATCAGGTTGCATAATCCACATTTCGAAATTGCACTTGCAAAAACTAGAAGCAAAGATAATTTTCGATTACCATATGTTCCCTATTATTCGGCCGAGATGAATTAAAATGTAAAAGCCTAGGCGCATGCATGTAGAAATGCACCCCACGTGCGCGCGCATACACGTTTGCACTCGAATACTCGTAACAGTCGTAAAGAGAAATGACAAAATGGGGGAGAAAAATTAAGCCAGTGACATTTAGCTGAATGAGGCTCGGTCATGAACGATACCGTCAAATAACAAATATTAACGTTTAATTTACATAATTATTCATTAATATTATTCTATAATTATTACTTTAATAATTTTAAGCATATTAGTTCAGTTTGACTGAATTTGTAATGAAATCAAAGAATTGTTATACAATTATTTTATAAAATTTACTTTTTTATACGATAATACTCTCGGTACATTTTTAATTATATCATTTTCAGAACTATTTTTTAATATATTTATGTTTTTTTAACATTTATCTTAAGTTGAGAAAAATGTCCATTGTAGATTGTCGATATATTTGGACAATTTTGAAGTAGTGAGGTATCCCTTATTATATTTCATAAATAGATGTCTCATAATGCGCTCAGTACTTGCACCGCGTAATTTTCTCGAATAAAGCAGCTATTTCTCGTATTAATAATCGAATATCATATTAGTCAGCGAAATTTCGTGGCTCTAAATAACCGCCGTAGTTTCCAATTTCGACCTGACAATTGATAATAATATATAAGATTATACGATAGTGCTTGATTTGTGGGTAATTTACGATTGCCAGATCATGAAAATGAGCGGGTCAGTATTCATTTCGCGGAGATTTTATTCATTTCGCGTAGATTTTAAGCACATAAAAACGAAAAAAGAAAATCCAAACATAGCAACTAATCATCGAAGAGAAAAGCTTTCGTTACAAAAAACACTTGATAAGCGATCCCGAGTCTCTTTGTACTTAAGCGACCATTCTCTCTGCTTTTATTTCATCAATTTTTTTTTCATTTTCCCAGCTGTTCATCCATACATGTATATTCTTCCTTTCAGTCGCGTTTAACCACATGCCTGCACACACATGCTGATCAAGTCTCTCTCTCTCTCTCTCTCTCTCTCTGTGTGTGTGTGTGTGTGTGTGTGTGTGTGTGAGCGCACGCGCGAGAGAGAGAGAGAGAGAGAGAGAGAGAATCAGGCATTGAAAATACGAAGACGTGTCGCATTCAAATCGGCAAAAAAAGGATTTTAAAGAAAGGGGTGGGAGTGAAGCCGGATAAAGATAAAGGGCGCGCGAGAGTGGGAGCACGCCGCCGAGGAAAAGAGAGGGTACAGGTAATCGGATACTCGGCAGCCATATTAGACCAGCAGCCGGACAGAAGAGCACCTCGAGTAGCTCGGCCCCGCGGCCACTTTCGGAGTCGCGACGCGACCTGGAGTTTCCTATCCATTCTCCGTCGCATCTCCGCTACTTTCTTCGTCTTCGCTATTCTATCCGATGCCGCTGGACGTCACGACTCTTTTTTCTTATTTACCACCTGCGTGCAAGATTATTACCTCCCGGGGCGCGGAGATGAATGTGTAACGACGATTAACGAAGTAGTGTTTTTAATTGCTAGCTGCTTTCCCTCATTTTCATGCATCTTTCATGCGACCTCGACCAATACTCACCTGCTGTTAAAGCTATATTAGGTATGATTTAACCAACGCTTAATCCATTCAATGCCGTCACTCGTTCGCGTGCACGTGTAAACGTGGGTATGTGCGTATAGGATAAACCGTTAAGTCCTTCACGATGTCCTATCGATCAGCGCTTATATTTCGAAAAAATATATAATTTTGAGCTTTGAAATGTATCGCATCCAAACTCGGAACGCGAACGTCTCGTCATTTACGCTGGCATTATTATGATTATTATTTTGAATAACCAACTCAGTATTAAGTCGACAAAAAGTTCCTTATGAATATGAATATGCATTTTATGTATATAAAAATACATTGAAATAAAAGAATAAATAAAATTTGGAGTTAAAAAGTACATTTGCATAATATGAACGGATTATAAATCGATCGATCTCTCTATCGAAGACGGAACATGTATATGTTGTATATGTGATTAAAAATTGCTACAACTTACTCACTCAAATATCATTATTATAAAATGTTGGCATTCTAATAATTTCCGACACTATATGTTTATTTGTAATACATGTATGGTTTAAACAATTAGGTATTGGAGGTATGAAATTTACATTTCATAGCAGAAAATTTTGCATTTTGAAATATTGGCAAAATATTTGAAGTTAAAAATAAATTTATAAATTATTCATCCTGCATAGTAAATTGGCTAGCCTTTTACCTTTCTATAAGGTTAATAAATAACCGTGGAGCGGAGTGATAAATCGATTATGTCATATGTAAAACCTTATTAATTATTTCTAGAATTAAGGTTTAAAAATAATTAATCTTTTTCATTAATAAATTCATAAGTTATTGTATCAAGGTCGTCAAGGTTAAAATTTAATTTGTTTAATCATTTAATAAACTCGTCTTATGTTTATTCGTGACATTGTACTTATAAATAAAAATTGTATATTTAATATAAAGCATATTTAAAAAGCAAAGATCTGGTTCTTAATCCATTTAAATTTTCTGGTTCTTATTCCTATGTAAATGTTAATGCTTTGAAAAATCGATAACTTGAAAATAAGAATTCTCACTTAATTATTAAATGCATTTAGTCAAGTAAAAGCTATTTATTCTTATCGTAGCGTTTACAATTAATTCTATATTAATATACTCTTGTTATCAAAATAATAAATAAATAATTTATAATTTTTCCTTTCTTTTTTCGTTTTTATAAAAATATCGTAATTTGTATACTTTGAATGGCAACAAATTACATTATTATTCACAATATTTTCCTTAATTTTTATTAAGGAAAATCATTTAATTTCCGCTAACGCTAAAAAGTTCTTTAGCTTTTTCTCAGCGAATTCCATTTTATAAAGAAAAGAGTTTCCCCGAGATGACAGTGCCCATAGTAATGAATAACATTTTAATTTGAATGCTGGGATTTTATATATTTGCATAATATGTAAAAAATTTGTGATTCTTAGAAATCCTTAATTCTTGTAAATCAAAGTAAAAAATAAAGCGTAATTGGAATATTCGAAGATGTATTCCCCCCCCCCCCCCCCCCCCCCCCCCCCCCCCCCCCCCCCCCCCCCCCTTTTTCAATACTAAATTTAATAATTTGTAAAAGTCTGATTGAAACTGTAGAGCTCTTCGGAGACGACGGATAGATGAGTCACATTTAGAAATGCCATCTTCATTACGAAAGTCCACTTCTCGAAACATCACGAGTACACGGCCGATGAAAATTTGCCCGCTTTAACGGAAAAAGTGCTAAGCAGCTTAGGGAATCGAGGAAGGACGATTGAGTGGGGGAATGAAATTTGCCGATTACGCCGCAGTTTGAAGGATCGTATTTAAAGGATAGAGCGTTTGAGCGGGGAAATCGAGCATCTGAACGAAGCGACCGAGATTTTCAACGTTGAACGTTAATGCGCCGATGATAGAGGCACGTCGGCCATGCAACTTCGGCGTCGCTGTTACCGTTTTAGTAACCAAGCATCGTCGGCGAAGACTACGCGGAGCTTCGGTGCCCGTGTGCGAGTACGTGCGTGCGCGCGTGCGTGCGTGAGTGCGTGCGCCGCGTGCGTGCGTGCGTGCGTGCGTGCATGCGTGCAGCACTTCGGATTATCTAACACTTAAATTTAGAAGGGACGGGACACGATCCACGACGACTCAACTTTACAGCCCTGACGAGCGCGGCTCACGTACACCACGCCTTTCGTGATTTTATGTCTTCGAGTATATTCAGTTACTTCTTTAAAGGCAGGAGGGAGCCTTGCTCGCTTCTTTTAATGGAAATCTCTGCCATCGGAAATTGTTTGGATTTTTATTTTCGGACCTAGTCGATCACGGGCCACGATATCGATATTTTAAGCTCATCGATGATTCCTTCGATTATGATTTTTATTACCTTGCGCATGCGACGAAACTCCATAGATTTCACGTTCTTAAGTTTGTGAGAAACAATGACGAAGATGCTTCAGGGAAACAAAGATAAAGAACAAAAAACAATAATAAAAACAAAATATAAGAAAGAGATAGAGGAACAAAAATTTTCTTTTAAAGTAGAACGATCAAGAGGATTTCCAGTATAGTAAAATTTTTACAATATACATTAGCCTTTTTTTCCACCATGCGACAATTGCAAATTGGCTAGGAATTCACTTTGTAAAATCCAGCGCCAATAATGTTTTACATTAGTCGAGTAATTTATATCGTTAGCTCTGAAATTGCTGAAATAATTATTTTTAATATATAAATAAAGGTCTTGTCCTTTTCGTTCGACATAATAAAATAGCCTCAATTTGTTTAAAAAGTTAAGTTTAGCTGTTTGAGTGCGGATATATGTCAATTGTAAATTTAGCATATGACACATAACTTACAACTGCATGTTTAATTTAAAGCGTTAGCAGTTAACATAACTTAACGCGCGCCAATGAAATGTATTTAAATTTTCGACTTGAAAAATAAATTGTCCTGGCTCTTAAGTACCTAAATGGAAATTGATCTCATTGTAGTATACTTATGCGAATCGATTTTATCGTCATTGGTCGATAAAATAATATTCCACGTCCAGCAGCGGAAAGCCGGCCCAAGCCAGGTGCGCAATCTCATTGCGAAACGAAGGAAGAGAAAGGGGCGAAATCATCGGTGATAGGATCACTGTCACTCAAGCTCTCGTGCATCCAACGATTCTCTGTTGCAACAAACGATATTCAAGACGGCACTTGCACTATATTTTTTCTATCAGCGCGCACGGGATCACAGAAAATCTGAGGTGACGGTGGCTGCAGCGGCGAGGGCGGCGGCGGCGGCGGCGGCGGTGGCGGTGATGGTGATGGTGACGGTGGCGGCGGCGGCGGCGGTTGCGACCTCAGCATCCACCCGATAATGCCGGTCATAATTCCCGCAGTGCCGTTCTTTCACCGGATCACCAATAACATTACCAACCTCCTATACTCCCCCGATTCTATCACTCACCCTCACCCACACCCTCACCCTCGCCCTCGCCCTCTCACTCTCATTCTCTCTCAAATCTCTCTCTAATCTCTCTCTCTCTCTCTCTCTATCTCTCTCTCTCTCTCTCTCTCTCTCTATCTATCTATCTATATATCTATCTATATATCTCGATCTATCTCCATCTATCTCTATCGCTTTCTCTCACTGACGCCCTACGCGTGAATCGGCCGTAAAACTTCGCTCGCCCTTTTATTCACGTAGAGTGACAAAATTTGCGAGCAACTAATACCGGGGATACTGGCGATTTTCAGTTCGTAAACGCGCGTGATTATTGGAAACGTACCGCGTTCGTCCGGGCCGGATGGCCGCCCGTCTGAGAGTGAATGTCTTATTAGTTATTTCTGGCGTCGGGCTACTCCTCTTCTTCCACTACTGTCTTGCCTCTCTTTGCCACCTCTCGCTCTTCCCTATTTCACTCTTTTCTTTTCTATTTTACCTCTTGCCTCGTTTTCATCCTCCCTTGACGCGATCGCGAGACGTCATGCTTCCTTTTTCTTGGGCTACTTCTCGTCGGCTCTCAACACAGCCCGACGATCCTGCACTTTGGCGTCTCTTTTATTCTTAAAAGCCGATAAGAGAATGGGAATTGCCATGCCTTATAAGAAACCTGCCCTTTTCCAGCTTTATTTTCAAAAAGATTTTTAAAGGGAGTGGGGCAACGTCAGTTTTAATGAAAAGAAAAAAAGAAAGAAAAAGGAAAAAAAAAATCGAGAAAGCACAATTTCGCTCGTTCGCTTCTATTATTACCATTATTGCATCAATTTACATAATTTTCTTTAGTTTTATGCTGAGAAACCTTATTTGAAACCTGAATAGAATGTATCTTAATGCGAACATGGTTACGAGAATTTGTCATATTTTTCTTACTCTCAGGTTTACGGAATGCAAAAATTTATTATTATTTCCAAGAGAAGAAGCTCAGAATAGTCGATTAATTTTATAAAAATGCCAGTTAATCATGTTTTAGAGCGTAGAGAAGAATATTAGCTTTTTTTTTTTTTAAAGTCTTTTAGATCAAAGCTTTTTATTTAATCAACGAATGGGCTTGATTGTTGTCTCCTTTATAATTTAACCAAGTAAAGGGTAATTTTGCGTCTTTCTTCAAATCCATCCATTTTTATCCAATGATTAAAATATGTGACTATTATTTTCGATCGTATTTTGCTTTATTTGTAATGATGCCGTGGAGGCATAATTTTTAGAAGCTAAAGAAAGAAAGTATAGTATACGCTCGAGGAATGTGGCGAGTCGAAAATAAATCAGTTGCTTTGTACAACCGATGCAGTTCGCGAATGATATAAGATTTTAATTGCAATACCGTACTTTGTATGCAATGAAGAATAATTTAAACGACAACAATTTTAATTGCATATATTATGTATACATGCATATATATATATATATATATATATGTGATATATATAACATAAAAAACATATATATATATATATATATATATATACATACTTGTGTAGAAATAAAAAAAACTTTCATGATCAATTGATTTAGCTAATAAGCTACGAACGTTTTTAAAATTGTCATCAAATTGCTATGGTTATAATTATTTAATTTTTTAGCTTTTGCTTGAGAGAAATTTATTATTATGTAGTTTATTTAATAGTGAAATAAAAAATTTTTGCTTTTGTCCCAGTTAACATTTTTATTAGAAATCGAATGCAGCATAAAGCCAACTTTATTTGCAATAAAGATATTTTCATCGTAAAGCATTGAAAAACGATTGGGCTTGACCTATCTATATATACTATTTAGTATTGGTGATATGAAAATCAAAATTAATATATTGAAATAGAATTGATAATTGACACTTTAAATCTGTTTATTAAATTTAAATTATCTTGTACAGCACCGTTCGATATTTCAACGATATCAACATATTTTTAAACGCTAATTTATAGCACGTAATTTAAAAATAATTTAGATCGAGTATAGAGTATCTTTACATGCTTAACTTGCATGAAGAAATAAATTATTATTATGCATAAAATGTATCGATGCCAATCTCAATTAATAATATTTATTTCATGTCTTGTAACCGGCTTCACTTTTTTTCTTCTTACCGCTAACGATACTTTTTAAATTACTTTATTTTTAATGTCTATATTCGTGAATAATAGTGTTTTTACAGTAATTGAACAAATGATTATAAGTAAATTGGATCATCAATAAAGCATTTGATAAATTATGGTATTATCCAAGGATTATTATTGCAGTACTATATACCAAGGACATGCATAAGACAATACTTTGACAAAATCAGCGATATATGTTTTATTTTCTTTTTATGTGTGTCTAGCGAATACATTATTTGTAATAGAACTGGGAAAAGAGAAAGAATTTATTTGACAAAAATCTAAGAAGACTTTAGTTTTTTATTTTTATTTTATCGTGCCACAAGTGAAACATTTTATTGTACATTAATTTCTAGGTATAGATTCGTGATATAGATTCATGATTTAGTTAAATTTCACAATTTCTCACTCGCCAATAGATTCTATATTAGAAAGTAATGCCAAAATTAAAGTATTTCATGGTAATGGACTTTCAAATGACTTCACAATGATTTTCGCTGAATTTGATATCAAATAGAATTTCCTATAGTGCAGCTAATGGCACGTTAAACCGTTATTTACATTTGCATTATTAGCAGATAAGATTAATTTAGCGAGTCTTTGATTAACATGATAATTCGTTTGAAAAAGAAAAAAATAATTTACTAATTAGTGTTGTTAGCATACAAAATGTTCCAAGAGCGAAATACTTTATCGAGGGATAGTTTATTTTCATTATATAAGGACAAATATTCACAATTAACTCGACACTAAATGTCAAAGTATTAGTAACAACATTATCATACGTCTTTATTAATCCTAATGACATTTTATTTTTTCGCGACTGCTTTTAAACGAGTTTTATTAATTAATTTGTTCTCGGCTAAAAGCGAGTATTTGATAGCATTAAAACGAATAGCTTTGAAGAGGATAATTTTTTATGAAGCGGATATATTTGTACCGGAAAAATGCCGTTCCAAGCGTAGGTTAATTTCAGTTGTTATGTAACATCATGAATGTAATTTTCGTATAGCTGTATAAGCACTTATAATATTATCAATCTGCTACAAATACTGTAATACTTGCTATTACTTATTAATTAAAGAATCTCATATAATTTTGAATAAAAATTTTCTTATTAAATTAATCTTCAGTCGGTCATTAGTTAATACTCTATCTTGTTTACGCATACCAAAGATTTTAAGACACGATTATTGTTAGATTTCATTAAATAAAATATTTGCGCGCACACACACACAGACACGCGCGCGAATATCTATATGCCTTGTTTATATTTCAAACGATAAATGAAGAATAGAGTGTTCGGTTGTATGCATCAATAATAATAATGGATCGACAGTCAAAAAATATGTTTTGCACATCAAATCGTAAATTAATTATATATCTGATAATGTCTTGCCTTCTTCATTGTTGGTTGGCGGTATCGTTAATATAATAACCGTGACATACCCAGAGGACCAATCATCTGCTAATTAAAATAAATCATCCTCTCCTTATCATTGGCGCCTTCACGAAGGCGCAGCCCGAGGAGAAGAGAACGATAACGAATTCAAAAGTGGACTTACCACGGGCACATAATTCAACATTTTTTTTCAACAGATTTTTCTTCGACTTCAGTCGTCATGAATAATTTAAATCGCTCCATGCATATCCACAGAGATTATTAGTTTTTCTTTATTCAACGCTGCTCGCGAGCCTACTGTATAAATGCCAGATTAAAGCATTCAATTTTTAGCGACAGAAGACTCGATTAATAACTGCTGCAACACCAGTGCTATGTATTAGTGGATTGGTGGATAAGTTTACATATATTTATTGCACGTGGATGCTATTGTGCTAGAGCACATGATAGACGAGCACATGGAACACTGTTCGTTGTAAATGTCAAGCGCGAGATGTGACACTGCGATTTGAAAATTTGCAGACAACGACACTTTACTCCCTCTTTTTTTTCCCTCCAAGTATTAATGTATTTCTAGAAATAAACATGTTATTGCTTTTTATAGATTATTTGAGCGGAGGGTTTATATAATTCTCGTAATGCGTAAAAGTTGCGCATTATGAATATATATATATATATATATATATATATATATATATATATATATTTATATCGTTTATTTACTGAGAATATGTTTTAATGTTAGCATAATTATTCTTGTGATTTCTTTTATATTGCTTTTGTTGTCGTTGTTGTTGTTGTAAATTTTTAGAGTAATTATACTTTTTTTTTAATATAATTTACAATAGAATGACCAGATTTTAAATTATAAATTCTCGGTGCTTTTATATTTGTTAGTAGTGGTTTTACTCAAAGTTTGTTACTCGTCGTAATAATTAGTTTTATTAAAAACATGTTCAATTCTTTTTCAGACAAATGCTATGAATAGATTCATAATATTAAACGACAGCTTTAATTAACTTTAATTTATAAATATTAGAAGCCAGTGGTGCAACGTTTTGGCAAGTTTTAATAAATAATATTGCTGTTGATGTAAACACTACTCTCCTAATTCTATGAGATTTCGTTGTCAAATACATTCTAAGTGTTTCAGGCAATCAATGTTTGTTGAATGAGTTGAACTGCTTTTGTGGATACTTTATAATTATACTTGTATTTCAATAATTGATAAATTATACGTAAACATGACGAAGCGCGTATCTAATATATTTGTTTATAAAGCTTTGCTAATTATTTCGGAATATTTATCATGTTTATTCACGTGGTTTGGCATTGGAATGCACATAAGTTAGAACGTCATGTTGCATTGGTGCCGACAAAATCGCGACAGTAACTGCGTCGTTTTATTCGAACAGCATAGTGCATTTCGTAAATTAGTAAATATTTTGATGTAGAATGGGTAAATATAAAATAAAACTTCTAGTACTTTTAGCGCCAATGTTCACTATGGAAGGGACAACAAAGTCGCATTAAGAGTAAGAAATCAAAGATATATAGGAAAAGTTTAACGTAGTAAAAAGTATCGTATAAATTTTTACATTTATAAATCATAAAGAAGAAATTAACTTATAAATAAAAATGATAAGGTCTGTATGAAAAAAGAAGAAAGAAAGAAAAAAAAAATAAAATAAAGGAATTTTAAGATGAAATATTACATTTTTTATATATTCCGTATATCGATTAATAATTGTTTATGCATCATAGAAAATTAATCGATAATTGATATAAACTATCTAATTGTAATTTTTAATTTTAATTCTATAAATAATTCATTTAATTAAAAGTCTCTTGTATATATAGTGTTGATTGCATTTTAGTATAGTTATTTCGAAAAACGATATTAATTTTTACTTACGTATCAAAACATATAATTGAATCAATAATTTATTTTTCTTTTAATAGGTTTTATTCCTACATTTCTAGATAACAATATGGGCTAAATTGTTGTTATATATAATCGATTTTCTGTTAATAGTATGATTTGAAAATATGTAGTGAAGAAATATTATGATAGAAAAGATTTTAATTTGTTTCATACAACTTTCTCTCTAAATAAGAATATAATATTTTTTTAAGAATTTAACTCGCTTACGTTATTTTGTTTCTTTTTTCTTATTTTATTTTTTTTACAATAAATTACAATGTAGTAAATAAATATAGTATAAATAATATTGTATCGTTTAGTTTTTAATTCAAAAGCTTTAACGTAAAAATTAATGGTCTAAGGTTGCGTATTAATTAAAAAGCAAAATTTTGTGAAAGCTCAGAAAGATAAAAACATTTCAGCATTTTTCATAGATATTCACGATATTCAATATTTATTAAAAATTATCGTCACAGAAATTTTAAGCAATATAAAGTTAATCTTCATCTATATGCAGAGCTATGCCAAATTTAGAAAGAAGCAATCAATCTGTTTAACGCATGAATTTTCAATAATTCGAAATATTAAATCGAATAAATTTCCGATTATGTTTGATTATGTTAAAAAAAATACTTTTGATTTTTTAATGCTTTGTAAGATTAATATTGTCGAGAAGCAGGGAAAAGATGTATTAAAAGTAACAAAGTTGAAGCATCGGCAAGTGTGTGATACACATGTGGCAGTAAACGAGCTGTAATTTATATGCAAAATACGTTAATCCATCGACTTGACGAAAAGATCTACAACACGCGATAAATCTCTTTGGATTATCAAGGGCTACAGCTCGATCTCTTCGATTTCTATCCATATTAGCCTCTCTACCCACCCACCCGCAACCAACACCATTTAGCTCCCTTTCCTCATCCCCCACCGCCACCACCGTTACCAAGCTCCATTCTCCACGCAACTGCGCTTACCGCTCCTACGCGGGATCTCGATATACTAACTTCGCTCTTTTATTACTTTACGTTAATTTAAATGAGGTGTGCAGCAGTCTGCTAACGCGGTACTTGCAGTCAGTTGCGGATATGTGCATTCGCGTATGACGGACTTAATAGTCGCGTTCACCCGCAGACCTAACGATTCAATTACGCAAAATAGACGAACCAAAAAGCGACTGAATTATTCAAAGGCAAATGTCTTGAATCGCGGCTCTAAGAACATTTAACACCACGACTTCATACTCTTGATCTGGAAAATGTAGTCTTTAGGAAAACTGGTCGCGAGAAAAAACTGCTATGTCGAGAAATTTTTCGTCCGTCTGTTTTTGTTGAGTAACGAGGCCAGTTCGTCATGCAATTTATTTCCATGCCCAAAGCAGTTTTCATCTCAGCTTTCTCCCTTGTTGCCATCGTATCGCAGGCGATACGGTATTTCTTCGGGTGGCCTTTTACATTTAACATATTACCACTGTTACTACCCGTCATTCGTAGCGTTACATTTTCACGAAAGACTTAAAATCACTAGATGCCAAAATTTCAAATCTCTCTGAAAATCATGTGCATTAATATTTTTTCATGCCTGAGCTTTCAAATATATATAAATGTATTTCTTTCTACTCTCACGTTATTCCATTATTGCTAATAACAATCGTTAATGTTTAACGCGCCCATTTTCAAATCACAAATTCACTCGCATGTATACGTACATGTAAACGACTACAGCAACATGATCCAATACAATTAGAAGCTTATGTATTATTATTAAAAAACTTTATCTATAAATAATGATATTCCACATTTGGCGAATGATTTATGTTCGAGATGTACTTTCATAGAAATTATCTCATTTCACGGCTTTTCCGAATACGAAATTTTCTTCCCCCTTTGTATTCATTTCACTCATTTCACGGCTTTTCCGAATACGAAATTTTCTTCCCCCTTTTGAAGATACAAAATACATGTAATAATATAGCTACCACAAACTGTGGTAAAGCTGCTGTTTTTGATATATAGAACGGAGCTTTTACCGCGCTGTTTCTATAGACTTAGACTGCAAAGCAGCAGTAGCAGCGCCAAAATAAGAGAGCAATTATCCTCGATAGAGATAGTTGACACAATAGCAGTACGCATAGTTATACGATAGTTTCTGTTTTAGCACATTCACGCCAAGTATTTGTCAATAAAATGGATGAGGAAACCGTTGGGTCGGCCAATTTATCTTTCCAATCTCGTCATTATAAACAAACGCCATTGGTAATGGCACTGCATTTCTCTCTCTCTCTCTCTCTCTCTCTCTCTCTCTCTGTGTGTTCTGTATCTGATAAGTATAAGCCATTTTATCTTCAACGTTAGTAAGTCCAACTTACATCATATTGGGACGAAAATCTCCATTATTTTTTTCGTAGGCAATGGTGATAAGTAAAAAAGTGATGAAAGAAAAAAATTAATAAAGTGATTTACACAAGTTACCAGCACCACCCGAAGACGACTTAAGACGCAAACACGAGTCTGCAGAGTCTGATTATAAGTTCACGATGAGGATAGAATAGATAGAGGTATCAAGTGTCGGCGATGATGGAGCCGGAAATTAATGATAAATGTAGCATGTACCAGCGGACGGAAACTCCATTTGATATTTACAATCTAATTACGCGCCAATTCATAGTGCAATCGATTCGCACGGCGTAGTGGCGCACATGCGTCACGCGTATTCGCGTTGGTGCACATGCGGTATTATTTAGCGTAGCACATGAAATGCCATGCATTGTGCTAAAATGGGAAGCAAGGGGAGTAAGATTCTTACCCCCCCCCCTCCCCTCCCCTCCCTCCCCGTCCCACCCACAACCACCCAATCACCGACTCGGCTTCGCGAGGCAACCTTTCATTACCGAGGCTGGGATACGTGAACGTGGCGTTTGCGCGCTCGAGATATCGCAGCTGCGTTGCATTTCCCCCGAACGATATCATAGGCCGCAGTCTAGGGTTCCTGATGGCTTTTGAGAGGAACGAGCGGGAAATGGAACAGTTTACGCGCGGAGTGGTCTTTAAAAAAACGTTTCCTCGGCATTTAATACTTTAGGGAGATGAATAAAACGGAAAATTATTTTTCGAGCGCATTTACGCTTCGCTGAGAATGTAACGGGCGCGCATGATCCTATTTTAACGTATTTTATTAACATGAGCTTCTCCCACCTAAATTAAAACAATAAAAATTGCATTTCATTGGACGTCTCGGCGGTACTCCTTTATGCCAAAGTGCAGCTCAATTTTTAATGTGTACGAGTGCTAGTTTGTCGATATGTTTGTATAATGGCGATTATTATTTTATAAAATCTCGCGAAATATTGAACTTTCGTATAGCTTATTACTCTTGCGAAATAAATTTATAAATATCTGCTCAATATTCCTCAAAAGTAACCTAAACAGCATCAAATACACGTTTCATACGTGCTCCACTCAATTCGCAACTTTTTCATTATAATAATGCATTATATGACATAATAAACTAAACTTGGATTCTAGTTTTAATTAATCTCTTTATAAATTTCAGTTTTAAATTTTAATTAAAAGAATATTCAAATTTGCATAAATAAAAATATCACAGAGAAATGAATGAACATGAGATCAAGGAATGCATTTTTAAATGTATTATTACATTCATTATTTTTAAATAAATTTAGTTTTGCAAGTGTTTCATAATTATATGAAAATTCCTAACAAATTTCCACTGTTTATTAGTACAAAATTATTATTATGGTGATTTATTAATATATATATATATATATATATATATATATTGTTGATTTCGTCGATGGAAGATACGCCATAACGTAAAAATGTTTATTAGATCATGGCAAATCAAATAGTGCAAAAATACCAAATGTATAAAGGTTTCTTTATTTGGAGTTCATATTTTCTACTAGTCTTCTTTATTTTTGAATAAAGGGGTGAACTGCCGATATTCTTTCTCTTTATAGATGCAGGATAGTACTGTCGAAGCTAGATCCCGGAAGGAAAAAACCGTTATAAAATGTATTCTAGCAACGGACTGTATAGTTTTGCTTTGAAAAGTGAATTGCTCTTATGCACAATGAATGTAAAAAAAATTTTGATTACTTTGTGAAATCGGTTTTTACATAGTTTACGAGTCATGCCATACGTATCCTTTTATATGTATACGATAAATTTATAAAAATCGTTAAAAATGTTGATTGATACAAAAGAGTAAATAGAGAATTTTTATCTTTGACAATTTCATTTCCAACTTTATATATTTATTCTTTAAAATAATGGACTGCGAATAAAAGTTAAATATCTAAACAAACTATGAGCGTTGAAAAGTTTAAAAATTTTACCGAATAAACAAATCTTTAATTGTTATCATCAATAATAACAATGACCAAGGTTTTGAAATTTCCAAAGAATTAAAAACTTCATTCAAAAATGCAACGTCAAAATAAATGAACTTATGTAATGTCAAGATAAAGGAACTAGTATAGAAAGAACAAGAATTGAAGACAAAAGTAATCGTTACGAGAATCAGCGCAAACGCCCTATTCAACTAGATAAGATTATAGAAATAGTCTACGTTGCATTTCAAAAATATCTCGTAAACATCATCGAGACATACCAGCTGCATAATATCTTAAAATAATGGTTTATACAAACTTTTTTATTTGTATAAGTGTATTTGTATATTTTTCATTTGTCTATTTTATTCTCTACGAAAGTATTATTATTTTTTAATAGAAAAATCTATTTTATGAAAAGTATTACTCATTGGTATATTGAAATCATTATAACTTCGATAACAGTGCACTGATAATTCTATCTTTGCACATTTATATTCTATAATCAATTAATTATTATACATTAGCAGTATTGTTCCAATCATTTCTTTAAAATTCACTTATTATGATTATGTTCGTTTTATCGTCAATAAAATTATTTTAATTTAATTTGACTTTATAAACGCTTTTATACATATAAACACGATTAAGTGAAAAAGAATCTTAACATTAAAGACAGATTTTAAAATATATATTGTACGTAGTAGTCGGACATTGTGAAAAAAAAAAATAAAAATAATAATACCGTTCTTACAGTTAATCGATTATTAAATTCTACTTGTTCCAATGTTAGAAAGTTTTTGTTACTCATAATTGACATTTGTGAAACAATTGATTTATACAACTTCGATAAAATAACAATTATTAGAAATCAATAAAGAAATTCTAAATTTAAATTGATAATGATTAGTACGTAAGTTTGCAGATTATTGATTTTTGTCATAGAGAACATTAAATTTCTTTTACATTATTTAATTTCAATTATCTTTGAAATTATTCTCCTTTAATTTTACAGGTAAGTAATACACTAAAAGTCCAAGGTCTTTATGAATGAAATTTTATTTAAATAATACTTTACGTTATAAATCTTTAGGAAGCTTTAGAAGTATAATGTATTATAATGTAGATACTTTATATCTCGAAAATATTTGTCGAGCTACTTATTATGTACGATAGGTCATTGTTACGCTTCGTGTAATTTGCATTTTTACAAGGCAAAATTGTCCCTTGAGAGATGTACATATGAAAAATCTCTTAATGGTTCGTTTTTAAATTCTAGAGATGCATAGACGCAGCTATGAGGAGAAATGCCGCAAGGAACGAGTTACTAAACAATATGTCTAAAAATACAACCGGATCACCGTCATCAGATCTGTATGATTTATTACATTCTTTTAATTTCAACGCAAATGTTATATAAAAAGATTTTTGGCACTTAAAGAATAACATTATTTATTATTACAATAACTATTTATTATTATTATTATTATCATTATCATTATTATTATTATTATAATTATTATTATTATTAATTTTATTACAATTATAACTAATTACATTTTAATATTTTTACGGCAAGCATTATTTTATAATACGTTGTATGATGCAGCATCAAACAATATTTAGAAATTAACCACTTAAAATATTTAAATACGTTTTATTTCTAATCCATTTACTAATGAAAACTTGGAATTAAAAGTATTTTCTTGTTCCTACAAAGAAAATCTTTTAAGCACCGATATTGAAGAATAATTTCTCTTCCTAACTTCAAATCCCATTCGCACCAAGAGGATCTTTTCTTAAATAAACGTTTATCAGGATAGAGAAACACTTTGCTAATGTGGTAAAATTTTATATGGAAAAGAAAATGGTGTGTACATTTTCTATTTTATAAATTGAATTTAATGGATGTTAATAATCAGTATTTTTGTACTTACAAATAACCAATCTTCATTAAAATGATAAAACAAATATTTCTTTAAGAAATGTATAATTGGAAAATGATATCTTTTTGTTGAATACGTGGATATTCATAACTTATTTGTTCATAAGTAAAATGTTCATGTATATTTTTATAATATCAACAAACAAAAACAAAAAAAATTATCGTTTACTGTTTTAATTTCAACTTTAAGCGTTTTAAAGTAAAGTATATACTAATTGTTTCTTAATTCATCACATTTGACTTAGAACGTTATAGCGTTACTAATTTTCTTAAAATAAGATCGACGAAAATTATTTATTCGTCAGTATAATCTTACATTGACATTTTGAATAACTTACTTTTACTTTAAAATAATTAATAAATGAAATAAAAACATATTTATGCATATATATTTGAAAAAGTATAGAAAAAAAATGCAATATATTGAATTTACGAAAGTTCAAAAATTGGATCATCTCTTGAAACATAAGTGTACAAAGTTTACGTAGTTGAATTTCCAAGTACTTACAAATTTTTTTAACGTATGGAGTTTTATTATTTTTCTTTTTATCATAATTATTGAAAACTTCAATATTTCATATAGCAACTAAATTTTTAATAAACTTTTAAAAATATTATCATCCTACTCTTAGAGTTTTCAGAAAATTAAAATATAAAATGAGGCATTGATTTATTGAATTATTATACTAGCATTAGAATTCCCAATTCCAACATAATAATCTTATTTGTACTTAAAATTAATTAACAGCTAGACAAAATAAATAATATAATATAATTAAATAGATAATATTAAATATCTGTCTCAACGAAACAATAGCACATTTTAGAACACCATTAACAATAGAACATAATTATAATGATTGTGTTGGTGAATCAATGTGTTGGTGTTGTCAATGCCATATAATTAGCAAGAATAACTTAGTTATAATTGTTTGTAATTGAAATTCAAATTATACAATATTTTATTTATTATGTAATAAATATTATAAATGCGAAAAGTATCAATATAAAACATCGAATGATTTTTATATTTTTATCATTAACATTTTATAAGCATATTTAAAATATCAAATGTGACACCTAATGCTTTATTTTTATTGTATTTACTTTAAAAATATTAAACAATTTTTTGTTTATTTCTCAGAATTGTAAACATTAATTTCATCAAATTGCTTATATTTTCAATCATATGATTCTAAATATATATTTAGAATATTTAGGATAAAATTTGCAATATAAAATAATACATTGTACGTTCAAATTTTAATGCATTCTGCTCTAAATGGTCTGTAACAAAAAATTATTATTTAACAATAAAGCTTATCGAATAATAAATTTATAGTATTTTTTCAACAATTAAAAATAATTATAATATATGCAAAAATATGTATAGTAAAAGTAGTCTAGCAAAAATTACAATATAAATGCTCTTGTTGATAATTATTTTTTGAAAATGTGATGTAATGCATGACAGTTAATTCCTTGCTGAATAAGAATTAATAATATTTCAATATTCAATCATTTTTTTTACATAAATATAAATTTATCTTCTTTATTTTATTATTACTTTGTGTGATAAATTTGACGGGAAAATATAATAATAATATTAGAAACAAAAGATAGGATTGACTGTGTTTAGCTATTATAATTGTATGGGGTTTGACATTAAAGCTTTGTAGCTTAATACTTAATAAAAGAGTTTGGAAAGTTTTTGGATATATGTACTTACAAGAAAATGTACGTACTTTTTCCGTATGAAGTAAAAATAATAAACTAAGATTATTTACAACAATATAAATAAAAATAACAAAAACAAGTTTTAATTATAAATCCAATAAGTTAACTTTATATATATATATATATATATATATATATACGTATGGAGAGAGATTATTATGAGGTATATTTGTAAAATAAATAAAGTAAGAAATATTATTTTATTGACATCTTATCAAATAAATGTTAGAAATTATTGTTATTAAATAACAAGTATTTATTGTATTGTCTAATATATAATATACAAAATCAATCGCTTATATTAAAATTTCATAATTTCGATTGCCAATTCATTAATGATCATAAGTAATTTACTCCCTGGTAGAAAATTAATTAGTATGTATTTTAATATTGCAAGAAGACTTATCGTAATTCGGAAACTAATGTATTAAAATGTTAAATTAAATTTTTTATCATAGCAGTATGCGTACGCGTAATATCAAATATTGTTTATGTAATTATTTCAATTTATACAGCTACTTTCTATTATCATTCTATTACTTTAATTAAAAAGAAAAATTATTATTTTTTTTTTTTTCATTTATTACTTATATAAGAAACTCGAGCGTCATTTATAAGAACATTACAAAATTAGAGAGCATTAAATTTTTTTATTTTATTATCGATTGGGTTGCATATGGATGGGAATAAATTTTTTTTAATGCATTTAATAAAAGTCAGTAGTGAAAAATGAAAAATTATTCAAAAAGATCGCTAGAATGATAATAAAATCATATTCTGCATTTAATATCGAGTCGGTGAATAATGCTAATTTTTTTTACAATATATAATCGCTCAATTTTTCTCGTATTATTTATTTATTTCTTCATTCAAAGTTTATTATGAGTAATAATAAAAAAAAAAAAAAAAAAAAAAAAAAAAAAAAAAAAAAAAGTAAGGCGTCCGCTAAGCGTTGTTACTTAAGTAATTGTATGCGTCTACATGTACGGTTCATTCAGTCAGCTTCCCTTCGCCCCCCCCCCAACGCCACCACCACCACCATGCGACCAGCTCCGCAAGTAGCTTTTACGCTATCTCGCACTCGAAAGGTAATTATTAAAGAAGCACCGCGTCCGAATTAATCGCGAAGTTTTCTTACTGATAATTTTAGTGCCATGGCGATTAACTAGAAAAAAATGTTCCTTTACTACCGATCGGCTTGTTTCGTATCCGTAACGCGGAAGCATCCGATGACGTGATGCAATAATTTTCAAATAGTTGCGAAATTTTGAAGAGTAAATGTTCCAACCAAGCAACGAGCATTTTGAACGACTGTCTCTTCCACAATTCAAATAGTTTCTCCACAATTGAGAATTATTGAAAATTTTCATACGAGCCCTTCCATTCATTCTCTTTATATTTGGAAAATGGATTTGTTAAGAAGGAAAATCCGTTAGTTATAAGACGATGGTAGCCGGTTTTACTACATCGTTTATAATACATTACATATGTACTTTCACAAGCAAGTGGAAGGCAATAAACGTTTTATGATCTTAATAATGACAAATAATGCAAGTTATGTTGTAGCAAAATTATACTGTATGAGTAAAGTATTAATGACATAGTAATAGTAATGTCGTTTAAGCATTCAGCCCTTAATTAGAAAATATAATATAAAATGCGGAAATTATTTAATCCTTCGAGTTATCGTTTTGCCAGAAAAAATGAGAAGCCGCTATCATCCAAGGACCTTCATCTATGGACCGCCTGGCTGATAAAAGTCGTAGAAACAGCTGAATACGAGTGGGAGGACTGGCTGTTCACCTACATAGATTTCATTACCAGACTGAACGAATATCTGAAGAAAGCCAAGTTGGAAATCGAAACGAAAGCGGACTGCCCGCCAAATCGTCAGCGCCAGGTTGTAAACTTAATTACGTGGGGGGAGCTTTCGTTGAAAAAGCAATCTTCCTCTACTCCTACGAAATCAATTGGAAAAACACGTTATTTAAATTTTCATATTTTTTAATTTTTAGGAAAATGTTGCTGAGGGGATCTGTTGCGAATACAAATGCGGTAAGTGCCAAGGTTATTTTTAATTTATTAAAGAATCTAATTAATGAGAAAAATTCATTAATGCATGAATTAGTTCGCGGTTCGAAATAATATTGACATTGACAATAATTTTAGCGGCATCAAGCTGTCGAATGACTGAATGTAAACTACTATATGAGTGAGATTTATGAATTAGAAAATTTTTAATGCATACTCGCCAATTCTAGGCGTTTTATCGAATAATTCGGAGGATTTGATGGGAGACAAATGGTGGTAAACCCGAGTCGAGGCAGATTCATATATTCAAGCTTTGAATAAAAATCTTAATACCTCGAATAATCTCTAATTCTTATTTGGCTTGCGATAAAATAGTGCTGTTTGCGCGATAAGTATTACAATGCATTATGTTACGTACCTCTTATTCCTTGTTATCTAAGGGCTAAGCATAACGGTGGTCAAATATAGGATAATAAGTGTCCTGTTTACTCGTATCGGAGCAAAACGAATTACTTCCAATCTCATTGCTTTACTTTTCGGTTATTCATGGCTGCAGCTTTGTGTTCTTATGTCAATCTATAAAAACAATATTTTATGATTAATCGAATAAAAGTAGGGGCGGTTGAGCATTAAATAGGAGGGCGTACATGAATATTCATTGAAGATGAAAAAGAAAATGTATAAAATATAAAAATATTCACGCTATACATAATACTCAGAAATATAATTAATTTTTTTTACTCCATTTTGTTTTCTTTTTGTTTTTGCTTATGCTTATGCTTATGCTTTTGCTTATGCTTATGCTTATGCTTATGCTTTTGCTTTTGCTTTTGCTTTTGCTTTTGCTTTTGCTTTTGCTCTTGCTTTTGCTTTTGCTTTTGCTTTTGCTTTTGCTTTTGCTTTTACTTTTGTTTCTGTTTCTGTTTTAATATGAAGAACGCGATTTTAGCAAAGATTATTCATATAAATGCATACAATATTTATCAATTGTAATGTTGTATCATGTTATATAGGATACATTTATATGCATTTAATGTATATATGCGCACATACAGATATTTATTTATCTTTCTCGAACTAGCGTAGCTTGGCAAATATTTTTTTCACCCGAAATGGTGTAAACGTGTCATAATTTTGAAAACAGTTAAAATTTTCATTTAATGCTTTCTCAATAATTGCCAAATGTTTAAACGCTAAATACTTTATGATCTCTGTGCTTGACGTTGGTTACGAAAAATCACAGTTACTCGCAAGCTACATGAGCTTGGATTTTGAGTTCTCGACATAAAGATTACGCTTGAATTCTGTGAAGTTTCGTTATTGGAATACTGATGGAATGGAAAGGCAAATGCTAGTGACGGCTGAAAATGGGATAAAATTTTTCCCGGAAGTATGTTGATTACTGTAGCGTAATATAATAATTATAAAATTTTGTCATAAGATATTTGATTTACGTGAGTTTGGTCGATAATGCAAAACTGAGAAATGTATGCTTGCTAATGTACTTGACCGATAACTTTATAAATGATGACGTTTTTTATTAATATTAATTATAATTTTACAATCTGTTTATTAATTTTCATTATGTCCATTTGAAACAATATGTATAAGTTACTTTCAACGGAAATTATTCTCATCATTTAATAGATTAGATAAAAATAATTGAACGGAGTTCGTTAATATTATAAAAGAAAAAGAGCATTAGGTTTTGATAATGCATAAGTTAATCTTCTCCATCTATTAACCGATTTTAACAAATAATTAGGCGAACATGTCGTATTGAGAACGATGCCCTATGACTTACTCATTTTGCACTCTTAAGGAGACTGTTTGTTACCTGCTCGCTGGTTTATTCTCCGGTATATTCTTAGAAGCGAATGGCTATCGAAGTTTTCTTACTCGTCGCCTTAAGAAGGGTAGTTTATATTTATCGGAGTAGACAAATGGGGAAAGCGAAATAAAGAACACGGAAAGGCTATGTTAAAATACGATCGAACGAGACTTCGTTGATGCGGATACCCTCTTTAGGACGAGAGAGTGAGAGAGTGAGAGAGTGAGAGAGTGAGAGAGAGAGAGAGAGAGAGAGAGAGACAGAGGCAGAGAACGAGCATGAGGCGATGGTCTGAGCGTCGGATGTAAGGAGGTGGCTAGGTCATAACTCCTTAACTGGTGGTAGCAGTAGTGATGTTCCTTCTGGCTTGTTCACTCTTTGAGGATTCCTTCCCCCCCCCCTTCCACTTTTCTCGCTAAATTCGCCCCTTTTATTCCCTTTAGCGAAGCAGCGATACTTCGATCATGCAATTTTTCACACTCCGAATCCTTCCCCGGCAGTTCTTTCTCCCGATTTTGCCCTCAATCATTCTTATCTCCGTTTCCCTCCCCCTCTCTCCGATACGTTTCGCCGTCACTTTTATATATAAGGAGACTAAATGCCGAGAAAGGATCGTGATGAGAAGCTCTTTTGCTAAGAGCTCAAAAATGAGGCCCATAATATAAAATACGACCATGTTAGTTACTCACCATAAATATTATTCAATATTGGTGATAATTTTGTACTATTAAATGCAGATTCAATTATGAAAATTGGATTATGCTTGAGGTTCAAATCCTATTCAGATACTTTAGTATATTTTAATTTTTGTCTCAATCAGTAATTTCAAATAAAAAATATCTTCACAATACTTTTATTCGGATACTTCAAGTCATAATACTTTAAACTTTATGTGTTATTGAATTATTATTAATAAATTCATCAAATACTACGAGTCAATAGTAATATACACACACGCGCGCACACACACACACACACACACACACACACACATATTTTAATAAAAAATTTCATACTTTAATTTGGCATTTCAGTTTAATAAAAAATAAATAGTTCTGTTAAGTTTATTTTCATTAGAGTAAATATATAAAATCATTTGAAATACAAGTATTTAACAATAATATCAACGAGACTTTAATTCATTTATTTGGTTGAACTTAAACAATGAGTTTATATTATTATTTTTGTTATATTTTAGAGTTAACCTATATCTTAAATTTCCCTTTTAAAATTTCTTTATTTTTTTAATTTCATTTCACTTTTATTATCCATTTTTATTATACTTTTATTTTTATACCATTTTTTAATATATACATATATTATATTATACATAATTTTATTTTGAGAGTTTTTCATTTAATTTATTATTCTCTACAGATTTACAAATATTAATAGATTTTAAATTTACATAAGTCTGATCTACGAAATTAAGCCCTTCAAAATTTTTATACTTATTAAAATATTTTATCATTAAAGCAGAATTTGAAGTATTACAAAATAATCAATTTTGTACATTATTTGTAAGGCATCGAGGAGAGATTGATAATAGCATGAATACAAATGCTTAAGAACAATAAAAAATAAAAATCAATTTCAGCATGCGTTTTTTTAGTATTATATTTTAGGGATATTTTATTTTCTTTTTTATACGCATGATCAATGTACAATTAATCATGAAACTTAAATCTTAAATCTTAATTCTAAAGTCGATGGTTTCTGTGTGTCAAATATTGCATGGAAATCCATACGATTTTCATACATTCATCTATTCATATGAAATTTAAAAGAATTTTTTCAAATTGTACATTTAAGTAGTTTTTATTTAAAAAAAAAAAAAAAAAGAAAAAGAAAGATCATTTAAGACACGTGTGAAAGTTATTTTGATGCAAATCGGAATGAATTTATCTTATTTTAATCAGATAATTTATGACGTAATATATATACATTAGATTATGCACTCTCGTGTATTATTTAACTAATTTATCTGAATAGTTTCATCTAGATAATGTGAAATCGAAACATAATATATTGGATCGTTGGGTTAATATATTTTGATAAAATTTTGTGTACAATAGATTTGCAATAATTTATGAAAAACATTAGAAAAATTTCCAGGAACTTTTTAATTGAAAGCAATCTGTCGAAAATTTTAGAGGTTTGTTATTATGGAAATTCAAAAATTTTAGTAATTTATCACTTGAAAATTCGAATAACATTATCTACAGTCAAATATTACTTAAATATAGTTAAGTAATATTTACTTAAGATTTATTGCGTATAAATGAAGAAAGTTTCCGTAGTCGCAGTGATATTATTGAAATAGTTTTGAACTATATAAATTTAAAAATTCCATTTTATAATATAATTATCGAGTATATACTTGTAATTTCATTTGGAGAATCTAAATTTACCATTATAAAATACTTGTCGAATTTCTACATTACTAACATAATTTCTATAATAATTCAAGACTTTTATAAGGTGTCAAAGTGTTAAAAAAGAAAAAACAAAAAAAAAACAAAAATAAATAAATAAGTTTCCAAAGTTTAAAAATTTGCTTTTTCTAAAAAGCAGATTATAATTTTCTTCAAAAGAATAATTTATTTTTCTCCTTCTTGAAAATGTATCAGATTCGAGTATTTAAATTTTAAATAGAAATTTTGAAAAGCAATTAAAATATTTTTAATAAACTAAAGCTTATGAAATTCAAATTTGAATTTTTATTTTATGAAATAAAATTGCAATAGGTATTTGATTTACTCAATAGATTAAAAAAAAAAAAAAAAAAAAAAAAAAAAAAAAAATTAAAAATAGAATTAAAGCCACTATCAGAGTTTGGTTTAGTAGTAAATAACCGTAATGTAAATATGAAGTCGCATGTTTCGTTCGATAAACGAGTAAGTATTGGTTACCTCTTAAGAAAAGTACGTGTTTCTTCATCACTTCATCGTTTTTCAATCAATCAATCTTTTAAATGGTTGAAGGTAGGATTTACGTAAAATATAGAAAATAATTTCACAATGTCAAATAATCGTGCCTCGAAGGCTGTCAAGAATTGAATAATGAGCAAGTCACCGGATGGCGAGTACTTTTCAAGTGATTTTTTTTCTTTTATTCAATGTCATTGAGAAATTAACTGTAGTTTTTTCGATATTATGCAATTTTTTTTTTGTTTTTGTTTTGAACAGTTACT